TTTTTTCATTTTCGGATTAAAAACTAAGTTTCTCCAATCTTCTCAAAACTCTGGATTATGATAGAGGGCTGTGAGACTTTGACCTGAGTGCAAAAATGGAGGCTCTAGACCCTTCCAGAGCTGAGATGTCAAAATTCAAAATTTCGACCCGAAATAAAAAACGACAGTGTTACCCCTTTCGTTTTTTTTTTTCGTTTTCGGGCGAAAAATTAAGTTTCTCCAATCTTCTCAAAACTCTGGATTATGATAGAGGGCTGTGAGACTTTGACCTGAGTGCGAAAATGGAGGCTCTAGACCCTTCCAGAGCTGAGATATCAAAATTCAAAATTTCGACCCGAAAAAAAAAACGACAGTGTTACTTACCCCTTTCGTTTTTTTTTTCGTTTTCGGCCGAAAAATTAAGTTTCTCCAATCTTCTCGAAACTTTGGATTATGATAGAGGGCTGTGAGACTTTGACCTGAGTGCAAAAATGAAGGCTCTAGACCCTTCCAGAGCTGAGATATCAAATTCAAAATTTCGACCCGAAAAAAAACGACAGTGTTACCCCTTTCGTTTTTTTTCGTTTTCGGGCCAAAAATTAAGTTTCTCCAATCTTCTCAAAACTCTGGATTCTGATAGAGGGCTGTAAGACTTTGACCTGAGTGCAAAAATGGAGGATCTAGACCCTTCCAGAGCTGAGATATCGAAATTCAAAATTTCGACCCGAAAAAAAACCGACAGTGTTACCCATTTCGTTTTTTTTTTTTTCGTTTTCGGCCGAAAAATTAAGTTTCTCCAATCTTCTCAAAACTCTGGATTATGATAGAGGGCTGTGAGACTTCGACCTGAGTGCAAAAATGGAGGCTCTAGACCCTTCCAGAGCTGAGATATCAAAATTCAAAATTTCGACCCGAAATAAAAACGACAGTGTTACCCCTTTCGTTTTTTTTTTCGTTTTTGGGCGAAAATTTAAGTTTCTCCAATCTTCTCAAAACTCTGGATTATGATAGAGGGCCACGAGACTTTGACCTGAGTGCAAAAATGGAGGATCAAGACCCTTCCAGAGCTGAGATATCAAAATTCAAAATTTCGACCCGAAAAAAAAACGACAGTGTTACCCCTTTCGTTTTTTTCGTTTTCGGGCAAAAAATTAAGTTTCTCCAATCTTCTCAAAACTCTGGATTCTGATAGAGGGCCACGAGACTTTGACCTGAGTGCAAAAATGGAGGCTCTAGACCCTTCCAGAGCTGAGATATTGAAATTCAAAATTTCGACACGAAAAAAAAAAAAACGACAGTGTTACCCCTTTCGTTTTTTTTTCCCCGTTTTTGGGCGAAAAATTAAGTTTCTCCAATCTTCTCAAAACTCTGGATTATGATAGAGGGCTGTGAGACTTTGACCTGAGTGCGAAAATGGAGACTCTAGACCCTTCCAGAGCTGAGATATCAAAATTCAAAATTTCGACCCGAAAAAACCCCCACAGTGTTACCCCTTTCGTTTTTTTGTTTTTTGGGCGAAAAATTAACCCCTCAAACGTGAAACTTACACGTTTGACCTATTCTACACGCAATCGCCTCTGCCATAACGACCTATTGGTTTTCATTAAACCGAGAAAAAAATGGAATTTTGTTTTATTGACGATCACTGAGAAATGTTCTATTAATTAAAATGCAAAAAAGTATTATTTTCAAGGTGAAAAGGATTCATTTGCCTTGATCCAAGCCGAAAAAAAACGTCAAAATGTCACGTTTTAATGAAGTAGCCAAATGAGTAAAACGTCTATTTTTCCAGCGTCCCCCAGCTCCTCGTTTAAGCAAAAGGTTCGCTAAAACAACGCATTACATCGACGTTAAACCACGTTAACCGTGTTAACCATAACCTTTTAAATACTCGACCTTCCGTTGCTTAGCAACGGGAAGAAACTCCTGTAACTTCAGTGCCGTTACCTTAGTGCTTACAGATTAGGAGACATTAGTGTGTTCGCTGCATTTGTAATGTTAAACTTTTAAAATAGGTTAACATCCGGGTATCTCTCCACTGGAATGTGTTAACTCAAACGTGTAAGTTTCACGTTTGAAGGGGTTAAACCGTGACATCTACACGTTTTCCAAAGTGGACCAACGTGATTATTTCACGTCTTGTCGTGATACCGGGTTGTCCTGCACCCTGGCAGAAGAGCTGACCCTTGGGTTGAATGTGAATTGACCTGTTGTGAAGGGCATCACTGGGTTCAGCTCTTCCAGACCCACATCAGGGACCAGTAGCAGCAACACCTTCATTACTGGGAAATGAGATTTAAATCGTCTTTGTACACTGTGAAATAATTTGTTGCTGCATTAAATTAAGTAGGCCTATAATCCAAATTGGCTGTTTTAGTCATTTCAACTGTTAAATCTTGAGGAGGCCTAATGATAAATTGCTTTGTCTTGTGAAAGTAAAAACTGATAAACTTATGCCATGAGTTATTAATCACATTGCACTGGGGAGTGAAGAAAACTTCTCAGATGACTGTTCTTTGGAGGAAGTACTTTAATTTAATTGATGGCTTTAATTGATTTCTACTTGTGCCTATGCCCTTTATTTCTGACAGGAGTCCACATGTACAGAAAGGCCTACAGAAGAGTCTGTACACAGCAGTGATACAGGGGTGGGCAGTGTAGAGACAACTTTTCCTTTTTATTTGTTGCATGAGGGGTGTGTGACACAAACGACACAGGGTGAAATGTGTTCCCTATATGAGTCTTCAACAGAAAATAGAGTATTTAGAAAAAAACTAGAAAAAATGCACTAGAAATAGTTGCTTCAAAATAAACTTCAGAGTAAAATACACTATTTCACACAGAGTACTATTGCTGACCTTGCATAATATCTCTTTTAAAAAGATGACTGAATAACTGGCTTTTCTTTACAAAGAACTATTGAAATAAAACTCTAAGCAAATAAGAGTTTTGCAAATTTGTCTTGTCTTTTATTTTAGGCTTAATTAAACTTTTTTTTTCTTTTTCTGATGTTGGCAATGTTGTGTAATATGGCATGCAATGTCACAGGCCCTGTCAGGTGCAACCCTCAGGCTTCTCAGACCCTGAAATCTTCCCTTTAGTTGGCCAAAGCTCATTTCATTGTGTGCCTTGATGGGAAATCCCTTTATTGAGGCCTTGATGGGAACATGCAGTCTGCAGTGTATGGCACCAATGAGGGACTGTAAGTCATAATCGGCATGGTAATCATGATTGCATTATCTTCATTAAAAATTATAATATACCCTAAGTTGGCAACAAAAAAAAAAAAAAAAAAAAAAAAACTAAGAGCACTGAAAAAAAGATTTTTTGGTAAGGTAAATACTACTGAAAAAAACCCAATGTAATTTACAAGAAAAAGTTAGTTCAGGCAAGAATTAAAAAAAAAAAAAAAACTAAGTAAATTCCATATCAGTACTTCAAGCGAGTAGAAATGAAAGCATAAATATGAACTCAATAAAATAAAGTAAAAATTACTCAACTTTTCTGATACTGGGGTTCCCATCATGCACTGGACCTTGAATAATTAATGAGGTTCATTTTTCACTCGTTTCCAGCTGTATTTACACTGTTCTATCATTGATTTTGTTGTCAGGATTAGTATATTGCCATTTTGAGGAAATTTTCTGCTCAAAATGACACATTCAAACACAAAAACGATCCATCAAATGTTACCGTCATTGTGTATTGTCTACCAAGTATTGAGGTCTATGCATTCACATCATGCTTTAACATATGATATGATGAAGTATAAATTACTTAGATAGGCTAAGTAAAACATACTACAAATGACTAGTATAATTCAATAAAATTGTTTGAGTGAAATGTAATGCAAAGGAAATTACAACTAAATCGATATTAATCAACCTTTTACTAGCCAAGTTACTTATATTTTTTGTTACTTTTACTTAACTAATTTAAAGTTTACTTAATTCCATATTCCAAGTAAATTTTAACTTAAGATTTCTAATTAAAGCTACTGATAAATATGTTTAGGTTTTTACTTGGCAAATCTTTGTAAATTTACTAGCATTTTCTGAGTGGAAAAAGTTGCCTAGCTTTTTTCAAGTAAATCCTACTCCACATTTTTTTCAGTGAGCGCTACCCAGATAGCAAACTGACATTGAATCAACGTGGAAACATGACATCGAAACAACGTTGATCTGACATTGTTTTGCTCATCGAATTAACGTTGAACCAACGTCAGATGCGTCATTCTTTCAAAACTAACGGAAAATCAACTTGAAATCAACGCGTTGTTTCAACGTTATGACAGCAAACCAATTTTCAATTTTCATTTAGCTTTGAAGAATGCCGCGTCTGACGTTGGTTCAACGTTAATTCGATGAGCAAAATCAACGTTGTTTCAATGTCATGAGAGACGTCGTTTCCACGCTGATTCAATGTCAGTTTGCTGTCTGGGGTAAACTTTGTGAATGGCACGACAGAAAGCTTATCAAGTTCTCCGCACCTCCAATAGTGTAAAGGAAGCCACTCGCAAAGAATTTTAGGGCAATGCAAACACTTTGTGCTGTTGTTGAAGCCCGGCATCGAATCGAACATTAATGTGCAGTGTTGTAGTCGAGACCACCTCACTCGAGTCCGAGTCGACACCGAGTCCAGAGAGAGTCGAGTCCGAGTCGAGACCGAGACCAGAGACGGTCGAGTCCGAGTCCATAGAGAGTCGAGTCCGATTCGAGTCCGAGACCAGTGAGGGTTGATTACCTAATTTACTTTTATTTACTTAGAGAAATCCTTTTTTTTTTTTTTACTGAATTTACTTAGAGTTTAAGAAATATGATCAGTTTAGGGTAAAACGGCCACATAGTAGGTGGTGTTAAAAGTAATTTTATTACAATTTGTCATGCGCAGTTGCGCCCTAGAAAATCACCAATCACTGGGCGTGTCAATCAATTTAAAGAAATATTTTATTAACATACATTAATAATCATGAAAAATATTTTTAATTGAACTTGAAAGTGATTATTGATGTTCCTCCCCCTCAAAGGGTAGTGTGGTCTATGATCCAGACTTTGATGTTTTAATGAGATCGGGCACTTGTGCAAGCTGTGCAAAGCCATCAGTGCCAATGCCAAGCTGGTGAAGCCTGGTGGAGCTCAGTGTTTGCCGTCAGGTGAGCGAGAATCATCCACGAGTTCTTCTCATATTCCCTTTCAGTCGGTCAGTTTTACCACGTCCCGTTTCTCTCTTTCAGGAAACAGCCTCACATCCATTCTGCCCTTACTTCACCCGGAGTGTCACTCTCTCCCCGAGCCCAACCTCTTGCCTGGCCAGCTGTCCCATGGTGCAGTGGGCATGCAGGGCGGGAGAGTGCACTGGATCTCTATGGCATTTGAATCAGTGAGTTCACTACTGCATTTCCATAGTTCACAGATAAATGTCATTTTATGGTGCATTTTCCCTGTTTAGAGAGTATGACAGCCAGTGTTGGGGAGAGTTATTTTTAGAGGTACAACAAATTACGGTAATGCTTCCTTTTATGGTACAGTACTTACAGTGTACAGTGTACTTACCTAGAAAGTACTGGCTAATATAAGGTAAGTACATGGAACTGGGGTAGGTTCAGGGTTAGTACTAGTTATTACCCAGTAATTGCAGTTACTAAAATAAGTACATAGTATTTACATGGGTAACTGGACTGTAAAAGGAAGCGTTACCCAAATTAAATTACTTTTTTATTGAAAGTAATGTTATGTTACTTTTATGTTACTTTTTATCACTTGGACTCTTTCAGGTCTTTGCATTGGTAATGTATTTTAACGCAGTAATGTATTCAACAACACAGCCTATATATATCATACACCTTGATTTTCTTTTAAAAACACATTTACAATATCATTATATTCTGACCACTTTGAATATTTCCTGATCACTACACTACAAAAAATCTCTTAAAATCCACCTGGGGTGAAAATTATATTTTTAATTGTTGTTATATGTTGTTTATATGTCTATGTGGTGTTTTAAAAAATGCTTTAAAACAAACCATGTGCAAATTCACAAGTCGACAGTGAACCAAAGACAGTCTCAAAAACACAATTTGAAATCGCTGGTGTTTCTGACGTCACAAACTACCTTGTAACCAATCAGATCATTGTGCCGGCAGGCTTTAGCATATCATTAACAGCGAACTAAGCCTCGAGAGATGCCAGGTTATGCCGGTGTATTTTTTATGCCGGAAGATTTAGCAATATTGCCGGTGTATGATGCATATTACGATGTTATGATGAACTATAAGCCTTTCTCTGACGTTCTGAGTTGTTTAAAGCGTTTCTGATGATTGTTAGAAGACAGACTGAGATGGCGAACGGGAACATGGTTTGTGCAACATTAGCTGTATGATAACATTGTCAAGCAAAACGTTAATCATATTAATTATCGTTATGTGTCCGAGTAAGTTGGCCGAGTAGATCTCTGATTTGGCGTACAGTAAGTGAGTGGAGACAGGGCTAATTAGCATATTCATGTTTCCACGTATACTGTAACTGAAGCAAGAGTGTAGAGTTACATTCAATATATTTTAAGCATGACATTTCTGAATATGTAATTTTGGTGATCAAATATGAGTTTTAAGGGATAAAATGATTGACTACAGGGGGACTTTAACATTACGGGTTTTATTACCTATACCTACTGTGCAACTATTGAATGTCATGCTGTGGTTGGGATTCAAACAAATAGCATATCCATAACATGGTGCCATTTACACACCGGGAGCTGAAGAGTAATATTCAGAGAGAAAAAAAATGTTTTTAAGAGGTTTTTGAAGGAGAGAAGAGTAACTAACAATCCCGCACTAGAAGATCGTAAGGAGCGACCAGGAGCATACGGCTGAAGTAAATCAGATAGGACCAAGGTTATGAGTTTTGTAAGTGAGAATTAGCACCTTGAAATTTATTAGCAAGAAAACGCTTGAAAATCAATCACAAAAAAAAGTGATCAAGCAGGCTGCAGAGTTTTGATCATATTGTAATCGTCTGATATTTTTAGCTGAAAGGCCACAATGAAGTGAGTAATCTATTTGAGATGTGACAAAGCCATGTGCAACAGTTTCAGCATCCTGAGAGGATCGAAGACGAGGTGTGTTACGTAGGTGGAAAAAAGCTGTCTTTACCACTTTCAATGAGATTATTAAATGAAAGAGTGGAATCAATAATAACTCCAAGATTTCGAACTATCGTAGAAGGCATTATCAAGTCACCATCCAAATCAATCATTTGAGCAGATAGTTTCAACTGTTGATAGATTCAGTATTAGCTCAGTTTTACCTGAGTTAAATTTAAGGTATTTTGCCTCCAGCCAAAGCTTGAGTTCCTTGATGCAAGTTAATGTAGGTGGAAGCAAACACTGACGTGGGAGTTGTACTAAAATAAAACTGAATGTCATCAGCAGTGGAAGATAAACCTAGCCTGGCTAACGTCAGACCACGTCTCATTGACATTGAGACTTGGTCTGGGAACCACATGTTCATTTTCTCGTATTCGAGGTGTGGTTTACGAATGCCCAGAGCCGTTAATTGGGTGCTACGAATCTCTATCAAATGCGCCTGTAGTAGCTCATAGCCAATCGTTTCAATTATACCAGATGGCGTATGTAGAGCGAAAGACGAGGAAGAAGACGATGGGTCTTAGAGATTTATTTGCGTTCTTTCTAAACTACTGAACAACATCCAAGGCTGCATTGAAAGGTAACTTCACGTCTGCTGCCATGTTGGATCCATAAACAAACTGCTTCGGTGTGTTGCATAGACATCGTCATCATCTTGCTGCTCCCTCTCTACACTTAAGTAGCCCATTGAGTTTTAACAGACCCTCTAAGGCATGCATGGGGTTAGGCAGAGGGTTATTGAGATTGAATGGGGGAATATCACGTAAAAGAAAGGCAATGCTTCAATCGCACTATGATTGGTTTGTGCAATAAATCCCGCTTCTTGTATTCATGCCCGTTCACGAATCATTCTGAATGAACAGCATTATGGCGTCAACATTAATGGAAGACTGGTTAAAAGGTAGGTAAACAACTCACACACTTAGATATCACCGCTTTATGCCATGTCAAATCATGCCATGTTGGATCCATAGGTATAAACAAATTGCTTCGGTGTGTCACATAGACGTCGCAATCGTCTCGCTGCTCCCTCCCCGTTTTGTGATTGGTCCCCTCGCTAAGACGAAAATCTGGTCTATGGTATCCAGGCTGCCTAGCACCGTGAATAAAATCGCCCTGCTCCTGGGGAAACCCAGGCTAAGATAAACCCATAGTTTTTGATTATTTGTCCAATTGGTAACATATAAGTAGCGAAAAGAAGAGGGCCCAAGACAGAACCTTGAGTTAACCTTGATTTGTGCTTCTGGTAACAAATTGTTGCCTCCCTGTCAAAGAGAAGGAAAACCAGTCAAAGGCTGTGCCAGTTATTCCAATTGCTGATCGAACTGCATTAACTACTGCATCCCTATACTGCTGAATGTGTTCAGTATATGCCAAGGAGTGAACAATAATGCCAGGTTTCTTATAAAACCTTTCTAGCTGGCAGCCCTTGGTTTTCATTTCCCTTAGCTCAGTGTTGAACTGCGGAGAAGTGCAAGAGGATGGAACGTATCTAGATTTTAAGGGGGCATATTGATTAAAAGTAGAAATACTTTCATCATAGACATTAAGAATATCTACTGCACTGGGAAGACTGAAACAGGCAGAAAGTATTATAAGTACATAGTATTTTATATCATAAAATTGACCCGTGACTTGAAATGGCAAATATTCAAATGATGTCACATCATGGAAAGCAGACCCAGACCCCCTCCCCCACCTCCACTTCGGGTCTTAGTCAAAATACCAGGAGGAGAGTGCAAATTGAGTTCAACAAAGTCATTTAATGTTTTCCAGGCTTCTGTGAGCATCAGCATATCAGAGTTATTATCAGAAATTAGGTCCCGGAGAACCAGTTAATGAACGAGTGTTGAGTAGGGCGAATTCCCACACTGCTGGAGACTCTTGTTAAGCACAGAGTCATTTCGGATCTCTTCTAGTGGCTTTAGAGAGGATAAGCAAGCTCTGCGATGTCCTTAGAAGATGATTTCTGTGTGCTTAAATTAATCTGTGAGACCAGATAGAGGGAATGGAAGCAGGCGAAGTGCTGTTCTTTCTAATAAATATAATAGAACATGATATATTCTTGGATGAGTAGCCTAGTCTAAGTCCTAGTCTAGTCTAGTCTAGTCTATTGCGCAGAGAATTGGTCCATTCAGTCCGGCTTATAAAAGCCCAGAAGTAACGCTGTATACAATTAATTAATAACCTGATTCTGTGTTTCGGTGCAGGTGGTCAGAGTACTGACGACATGTGAGAAGTGCTAATACGCAAGAAAAAGTGAGGGCACTTAAAATAAAGAAGTGCCAGGGGTGTTTCCTCTGAGGAGGCAAGGGAGGCAGTGCCTCCTCAAAAAATTAGATGAGAAGATAATCCATATTATAAAAATAAAACATGCAAATATTACGAAACGTGACATTAAAAAGCGTATAAATCACTGTTTCTTCTAAAGTAACACTTAAGTGGCCAATTGAGTTTTAACAGACCATCAAGCGTGCATGGGGTTTGGCGTTGCAGAGGGATATTGAGATTGAATGGGGGAAAGTCACGTAAGAAAAGGCAATGCCTCAGTCGCACCACGATTGGTTTATGCGATAAATCCTGCTTCTTGTTTTCATTCCCGTTCACGAGTCATTCAGAATGAACTACATTATGGCATCAACATTAATGGAAGCCTGATTAAAAAGTATGTAAACAACTCACACACTTAGATATCACCGCTTTATGTCACGTCAAAATAAAACTTGAAATGTCCTAAAACCATGACGACTGTGTTTTTTTTTTAAGGAAGCAATCAGCTTGGTGAAATTAAAGGACATCTTCGTGTCTGTGATCAGTTGTTTATCGAGCTTGATGACTGAAAATAAGTTGACTATTAAAAAAACAGCTGAATACTAAAGGATTATTAGGAACACCTGTTCAATTTCTCATTAATGCAATTATCTAATCAACCAATCACATGGCAGTTGCTTCAATGCATTTAGGGGTGTGATCCTGGTCAAGACAATCTCCTGAACTCCAAAGTGAATGTCAGAATGGGAAAGAAAGGGGATTTAAGCAAGTTTGAGCGTGGCATGGTTGTTGGTGCCAGACGGGCCGGTCTGAGTATTTCACAATCTGCTCAGTTACTGGGATTTTCACACACAACCATTTCTAGGGTTTACAAAGAATGGTGTGAAAAGGGAAAAACATCCAGTTATGCGTCAGTCCTGTGGGCGAAAATGCCTTGTTGATGCTAGAGGTCAGAGGTGAATGGGCCGACTGATTCAAGCTGATAGAAGAGCAACTTTGACTGAAATAACCACTCGTTACAACCGAGGTATGCAGCAAAGCATTTGTGAAGCCACAACACGCACAACCTTGAGGCGGATGGGCTACAACAGCAGAAGACCCCACCGGGTACCACTCATCTCCACTACAAAGAGGAAAAAGAGGCTACAATTTGCAAGAGCTCACCAAAATTGTACAGTTGAAGACTGGAAAAATGTTCCCTGGTCTGATGAGTCTTGATTTCTGTTGAGACATTCAGATGGTAGAGTCAGAATTTGGCGTAAACAGAATGAGAACATGGATCCATCATGCCTTGTTACCACTGTGCAGGCTGGTGGTGGTGGTGTAATGGTGTGGGGGATGTTTTCTTGGCACACTTTAGGCCCCTTAGTGCCAATTGGGCATCGTTTAAATGCAACGGCCTACCTGAGCATTGTTTCTGACCATGTCCATCCCTCTGATAGCTACTTCCAGCAGGATAATGCACCATGTCACAAAGCTCAAATCATTGATGAGATGATGATCATCATTGATTGATGAGATTTATACTTTAACGTAAAAATATCAAATAGAATTGTATTTTGTTTCTTTTTATTTTCTATTTTAATGTAGGCCTAATTTAATGTGTATTTAACTTGGAAAGTGTGACAACATTAAGTGTAAATGGGATGGGGCCAGAATTTACATTTAATAAAAAAAAATTAAAATAATAATAAACAAAAGAAAAAAAACTGTGAGGACTTCGCCTCCTCATTTCAGAACACCACTGCAACACTTGGTAACAGCATCATTTTGAATACTTGCAAGAATTTTAATGCAACTCTTTCTTCATTTTCATTGTCTCTATGATTCAGACCACCTACAAGGGAAAGTCTTCGTTTCAGACTCACTCTGATTTCCTACAATGGGAGAGTTTCCTGCAGAAGCAGCTCGCCTCACTTCCAGCGTCGTCAGCCTTGAGACGAGGCTTCCAGACCTGCCAACACTGGAAACAGATCTTCATGGAAATTATAGGCAAGAGAGCAAATATAGAACGTGGAAAAGACAGAAACCAGCTTTGTATAACAATGGCTCTGCTTGAACAAATGAGCAATTTAAGAGCGATTAGTCTGTGGCGCAGACATCATTAACACGAGTGCTCGTTAACCTCACTCTCAACAAATGCAATAATGAATCTGCATTCAGATTCTCTCTATTTATATGACATTCAACCTACTCTTTATGCACTGTAGGTGTAGAGAGCGCCCTCTACAGTCTCCTGCTGTCACTTGCCATCTGCATCGCAGCAGTAGCTGTGTTTACTGCACACCCACTTCTGCTGCTGCCAATCCTGCTGAGCATTCTGGGTATGTCATACCTTTGCAAACATTGAGTCACTGCACAAAATATTAACTATTAATATTATTTTTGTTAGTATATCATTTCAACCCAAAAAAATCACTGGAGGAAAATTAAGCCTGCATTTTACTAATATTATAATATATGCACATGCTTGTAAAATAACACTGATTACAGTACATGAGAATCATTGAGAATAATGAAAATGACTAAAATAAGATGCATTACTGCAGATGTGCTCTCAATTAAAAAAAGAGGTCTAAAAATAATTTAATTTTATTGTTACATGAAACGATTTACTTTATCCCCTTGAAATAGTTTACCACCGTTTTATTCTATGGCCAACTAATTTTCACTGAGGATACTTAAATGATGGAGTCATCAAATGCCTTTTTCTTTCATTCTGTTGAATTTAATTGACTCATGTAATATGTATTGATGGTGAAAATCATTGCCTTTTTGAAATGTGCAGCTTTATTCCCCTCTCATTTATATGTTAATACAATATACCAGACATGAGCGTAATTTAACTTGCTTTCAACCAGGAATATTATCACCAGTGATTACTCAGACTGAACGAATGTACAAATTAAGTGAAATGAAAAGAGACTCTGAAAACCATCCTACTTTCATGTCCAGATAAACAAGGAAATAGATTTCGAAAATGAGCAATGATGCTTGAATTCAAGTAGAGGAATGGATCAAATCAGTGAAAAGGACAAAAACAGAACCAGTGTTCATAAGCAGTTTAAAAAAGACCTATTATGCTTTTTATGAAAAAGTTCTGTTACAAAGCACAGTATCACTTTAAAGGGAGTTTTTCTTTATATTAGTGTCACTGTTTCTGAACTCCCTGAAACTCCTCCATAGTATTCTTGAGTTTTCTGAACGAACATGCGCGTCTCAATATTCGTTATTTAACTAATTCCCGCCCAAGGCAAAATTCTTTTTGAGAGCTATTCAATGTGTTAAAACTCGGTTATATGGTACTCAAAGCAGTTGACAAATCCCAGCTCAGGAGGAGGGGCTTCATATGGCACTTTTCCGCTGCATGGTTTTCGGTTCAGTCTGGCACGCTTTTGCGCTTTTCCACTGCATGGTACGGTACAGTATGGTTCGCTTCAGCTCGCTTTGAATGGTACCACCTCTGTTGAGGTTCCAAGCATACCGTACCGATACTAAATTGTGACGTGAATACACTGCAGATCACTGATTGGTCAGACAGAATTGTCACTACCAGCGTCATTGTATTTGCGAGACATCAAACCAACCCGCTAGATTTAAATGCCAGTAACAGCCACCGCTGAAGTTCCTGTTTTAAAACTACTTGCTTGAAGAAAAAAGAAAGTAAGAAAACTTCCAAAAAACAAATGGCTGAATCGTGGTCAGTGGACGAAGTGCAGACTGACATTCCTCTCGTTGCGGATAAACTGTAACGGTCAGACTATAATCCCACCCACTTTGAAGCGGTACGGTACTACCTGCAGTGGAAAAGCAAACCGAGCTAAAGCGAACCGAGCAGAGTTGTACCACGCAGTGGAAAAGCGAAGCGAGCCGAACCGTGACATGCCGAGCAGAACCGTACTGAGCTGTACCAAATCGTACCACGCAGTGGAAAAGCAAAGCGAACCGCGCCGAGCCGAGCCGTACCACGCAGTGGAAAAGCGAAGCGAGCCAACCGTGCCATGCCGAGCTGAACCGTACTGAGCTGTACCGAGTCGTACCACGCAGTGGAAAAGCAAAGCGAACCGCGCCGAGCCGAACTGAGCCGTACCGAGTCGTACCACGCAGTGGAAAGGCAAAGTGAACCGAGCCGAACCGTACTGAGCCGTACCGAGTCGTACCACGCAGTGGAAAAGCAAAGTGAGCTAAAGCGAACCGAGCCGAGCCGTACCACTCAGTGGAAAAGCGAAGCGAGCCGAACCGTGCCATGCCGAGCTGAACCGCACTGAGCCGTACCGAGTCGTACCACGCAATGGAAAAGCAAAGCGAACCGCGCCGAGCCGAACCGTACTGAGCCGTACCGAGTCGTACCACGCAGTGGAAAAGCAAAGCGAACCGCGCTGAGCTGAACCGTACTGAGCAGTACCACGCAGTGAAAAAGCGAAGCGAGCCGAACCGTGCCATGCCGAGCCGAACCATACTGAGCCGTACCGAGTCGTACCACTCAGTGGAAAAGCGGAGCGAGCCGAACTGTACCATGCCAAGCCGAACCGTACTGATCCGTACAGAGTCGTACCACGCAGTGGAAAAGCAAAGCGAACCGCGCTGAGCCGAACCGTACTGAGCCGTACCGAGTCGTACCACGAAGTGGAAAAGCGAAGTGAGCCGAACTGTGCCATGCCGAGCCGAACCGTACTGAGCCGTACCGAGTCGTACCACGCAGTGGAAAAGCGAAGCGAACCGTGCCGCGCCAAGCCGAACCGTTCTGAGCCGTACCAGCAGTGGAAAAGCGCCATTAGATCTTCATTGAACTATATTGATAACTTGCGACCATAGTTTTTCTTGAAAAACAAGCATGCATCCAAGCATAAAAACCCATTCTAGTAGACCCCAAAACAAAACCAAGACTTGTAATAGGCATAATAGGTCTTAAACCTTGAAATGACTTCATAATGCGTGTGTGTGTGTTGGCACTGGCAGGTATGGTGTGTCTGGTGGTGGCAGTGATGTATTGGCTCGGGTGGGAAATGGGTGCTGTTGAAGCCATCTCTCTCTCCATATTGGTGGGCTCTTCGGTGGACTATTGTCTGCATCTAGCGGAAGGCTATCTACTGGCGGGGGACCCTGAAACTTCAGTACTGGCCAATCACAGTTCGGTATGATTTACAAGTATCCATTACTCAACAAATGTGTCAAAATACATCTCCTGTGATGGTGAAATAGAACTGTTTTCATGATTTTTTCACATCCCTGATTGTTTCATAGATAGTGATCTGGGCACGTAACACCAGAGCTTAGTTGGATCCCGGTTTGGGACATCACTTGAACAGTTAAGACTCTGGGATTTCCTCCCACCATTGTGCCCTAGAGCAAGGCACTGAACCCTGGCGCGCTTCAGGGGAGTCATTTATATTGGTGTAGGATAAGCAAGCCTGGATAATACAGTCGCAGTTGTGTACGTCAGGTGCCATTTTATATGGTATTATACATAATAGCATACAGAGGACTTAATGAAGCCCTCTATAAATAATGGATTATTGATTGATTGTTGTTGATATATTATAACACAGTAATAATTTTAGGACTTTTAGGTGTGTTTGTGCCATGATTACTATATGACCACCTGGATGTTTTACTCACATGTCACGTTTTACTCGAGACAACAACTGTGGCTAAAACTAAAAACTGCTTGAAGTTTATTTTACAATATGTACTGTAAGGTAAGTACATGGGTTAAGTTCAGGGTTAGTACCTAGGTAATACTCAGTTAGTGTCATTACTACAATAAGTATAGTATGTTAATGCAAAACAGGACTGTAAAACAAAGTGCTTCCTAAAAACTGTGTAGACACGAACACTAGCCATTCTGACTGCAGTGCCAGGGAGAAAACCTGCTGTTACTGAGAACAAACCCAGGAGAAATGTCAACATACTGATGAGATAAACACGTCTGATCCTATATTCCGCTGTCCCTACCAGTCCTTTCCTCAAGCCCTAAGTATTGTGAATTTAATTGCTTACAGAGTTGCAAAACAGCTAAACATGATGGGCCATTTACATTTGAATTAAGCGATAGTAGGTCTATGAGACGAGGAAGTCAATTTTGAAAACATGACACCAAAGTTAGAGTCGTGAAACAGAAAGAAGACGACAAGGTGGGAGTGTTATTTTACGTGAGGTGAATGTTAAGAGATTTCTCAAGTGTCATTTCTTCTGCTTGGGCTTACAGGAGTCCTCCATCAAACGGCAGCTACGGACCCTTGAAGCAGCCAATCACGTGGGTGTTGCCATAGTCTCTAGTGCCGTCACTACAGTGATCTCAACCATTCCACTCTTTTTTTGCGTCATCGTGCCTTTCGCCAAGTTTGGTCAGATTGTGGCCATCAACACGGCAATTTCCATCGCGTTCACTCTCACGGTCACTACCGCGCTCCTGGCGACAATGGGACCCGCCGACTTCACCCGGACACCCAGAGCCGTGCTCAAAGCCGCTCTGGTGGTCCTGATCATGGGTGTCTGTGGAGGTCTGCTTTGGTGGACCGGATCACAGTTTGCTCCTGACACACTGATCTAAATCACACGGCGAACCCGTTTCAGGCCGAGGAACCTCATTCCAGGTGGATTTCAAGTGTGCATCTGTGATTTGTTTGTGACAGTGAGGCAACATACGTGAACATGAACTCATTGGCAAGCAAGTTTGGGAAAATGAAGTATTTAACATATGTGGCACACTGTTAGAAGTTAGGAAACCCTGTACGTGAATAGTGAACAGTCTGCATGAAGGTAGTGAGCCCTGACTGACTTGGGAGATACGTCGGACACATTTAGGTGAATGACACTGTCTTGCCATGAATAGATCTGTCAGGGACTTGCATTAATGTGTGACCAAAAGTGTTGATTATTCCTCGATATTTTGTTTTATTCACAACATGGAATGAAGGGATTTAGAGGATGTGATGACATTGGTTCAAGTGTGAAGAATGCCTGAAGTCTCAGAGGAGAAGAACATGAATTCTGTGAATTCATCTCACGTGCGGGAGCAGGACAACAGTGAAGGAGAAAGTCTAAGATCAAGCTACTTTTCACCACCCTTGAGGGATGTTGCAACAGGGTTGGTGTTTAACTTGAGAGTTACTTATTTGAACCCCAAATGTTGAAGTCCTACTGTACATTTTGGTTGAAGTCAACAAGAAATGACATTCACAAGTCGTTTTACTTTTGCAATGCAACGTACATCTTTTTGAAGAGTTTGCAGAGACTCGTTCCTGGGTCTACATATTTTGTTGGTCCTGGAACAACATTTCTGGTCGAAAATTTTGTCCTAACTATATCTCTACCCATAAACCTAACCCTACACATAACAAATGATAACACTGACTACGTTTACATGCAGCCAATTTTCGGGTTATGGTTGGGTTAAGATCAATATTCGGGTTTCTGAAACATTAGGAATAACCCGTTTACATGCGTGAGCAGAGAGAGTTTCTCCTGTATACATGGAATTGCAATATCCCGATGTAGACGGCGACGCGCAGTTAGCGTCTAGACATACGGATAACCTAAAGATGCAATATGCGTCATTTCCGATTCTTCTTCCTGTATCCAAAGACAACAACAACAGCAGCAGGCGTTCAACTATAATGAATAGTTCAGGGCAGATAGCGGTCGCCTTTGTTTGCGCTTTGATGCTGGTAACGTTACTGAGCTCGCTTCAAAAGTATGTTGTGCTGTGTCTCGCCATGTTTACTTCCAGTATACGGCACGCTGATTTTTGTATGCACAGAGAAGTTTCTCTACTCAAAAGACCAAGATGTCTTGCGAATAGAACATGCGCAGAACACAAATCACTATGGGGATATGCCGATACGCGTTTGCATGACCAAAAATTCGGGTTAGAAAAGGGGTACCCCAGGTAGAATCTCCCGGTTTTTAAAATCCGGGCTTTGAGCATAGCATGGTGTTTACATGGCCATTCGCGACCGGGTTATTGCTAATATCCCGGTTTTGAACGCTGCACGTAAACGTAGTCACTGATGTAGGAGCACCTAACCCTAACTGTAAGCCTAAACAACTGAGATGGTCCTCACTGCAGAACATGAAATCCACGGGGAGGAGTCGGATCCAGGTCTAACTCCTCCCATCTTACATATACCTAAACCTACCCAGCTCCACCCCCTGATCCCTAACCCCACCTCTAAATCTACCCAGCTCCACCCCCTGATCCCTAAACCCACCTCTAAATCTACCCAGCTCCACCCCCTGATCTCTAAACCCACCCCTAAACCTACCCATCCCCCCGATCCCTAAACCCACCCCTAAACCTACCCAGCTCCACCCCCTGATCCCTAAACCCACCCCTAAATCTACCCAGCTCCACCCCCTGATCCCTAACCCCACCTCTAAATCTACCCAGCTCCACCCCCTGATCCCTAAACCCACCTCTAAATCTACCCAGCTCCACCCCCTGATCTCTAAACCCACCCCTAAACCTACCCATCCCCCCTGATCCCTAAACCCACCCCTAAACCTACCCAACTCCACCCCTGATCCCTAAACCCATCCCTAAACCTACCCAGCTCCACCCCCTGATCCCTAAACCCACCCCTAAACCTACCCAGCTCCACCCCCTGATCCCTAAACCCACCCCTAAACCTACCCAGCTCCACCCCCTGATCCCTAAACCCACCCAGCTCCACCCCCTGATCCCTAAACCCACCCCTAAACCTACCCAGCTCCACCCCCTGATCCCTAAACCCATCCCTAAACCTACCCATCTCCACCCCCTGATCCCTAAACCCACCCCTAAATCTACCCAGCTCCACCCCCTGATCCCTAACCCCACCTCTAAATTTACCCAGCTCCACCCCCTGATCCCTAAACCCACCTCTAAATCTACCCAGCTCCACCCCCTGATCTCTAAACCCACCCCTAAACCTACCCATCCCCCCTGATCCCTAAACCCATCCCTAAACCTACCCAGCTCCACCCCTGATCCCTAAACCCATCCCTAAACCTACCCAGCTCCACCCCCTGATCCCTAAACCCACCCCTAAACCTACCCAGCTCCACCCCCTGATCCCTAAACCCACCCCTAAACCTACCCAGCTCCACCCCCTGATCCCTAAACCCACCCAGCTCCACCCCCTGATCCCTAAACCCACCCCTAAACCTACCCAGCTCCACCCCCTGATCCCTAAACCCATCCCTAAACCTACCCATCTCCACCCCCTGATCCCTAAACCCACCCCTAAATCTACCCAGCTCCACCCCCTGATCCCTAACCCCACCTCTAAATTTACCCAGCTCCACCCCCTGATCCCTAAACCCACCTCTAAATCTACCCAGCTCCACCCCCTGATCTCTAAACCCACCCCTAAACCTACCCATCCCCCCCTGATCCCTAAACCCATCCCTAAACCTACCCAGCTCCACCCCCTGATCCCTAAACCCATCCCTAAACCTACCCAGCTCCACCCCCTGATCCCTAAACCCACCCCTAAACCTACCCAGCTCCACCCCCTGATCCCTAAACCCACCCAGCTCCACCCCCTGATCCCTAAACCCATCCCTAAACCTACCCAACTCCACCCCTCAGATCTGAATTCGACTCCGCCTCCTGGATATTGTGCACTGCAATGAGGTGCTACTGAAACAACTTGACATTAAAGGGATAGTTCACTTTGAAATTAATTTTTGATATGTTTTAGCTTACCTCAAGGACATCCAAGATGTAGGTGTCTTTGTTTCCGGAGCATTTTCAATTTTGACATTTTTTAGTCAAACCGTTGTTGTCTGTCAGTCATATAATGCAGTTTTAGGGGGTCCACCTCAAAGAGCATGCACAGAGAAGTCAAAATTAATAACTCGTGAATGTAAGTACACACTGATGGCCTAAGACACGAAACGAGCGGTTTGTGTGAGAAAACGAACAGTATTTATATAGTTTTTACCTCTTGTTAACAGCCGCATATGCAATATGCGTAGGAAAGGAACTTTTTTTCCCCTAAATCAATCTCATTATAAAACGGCTATTTTATAGTTTAGTGAATTGGTGTTGAATTCATAAAAATTAATTTGTACAATTTTTAGGGGAAAAAAGCATGAAGGTCCACCCCCTAAAAAACCCTCAGAGGAACGCAAGAAGATCATATGAAAATGTATGAATGAGATTGTGAGATTGCAACCAATACATGACATAGTTGTGAGTTTCCATGCGAGTGTTGGTTTTCTCTTCGTATAACATGTCCAATAAAGCCAGGAATGTGATTTGATTTCATGTTGACTTTAAGGAACAGAAACAAAGGCCCTCATTTTTAAAATGCTGCATAGAAACAGTCCAACATTTGATCTTACGATGAATTCTCAAATTCAGAGAACGTACACGTGCACTAAAAACGTATTCTCGACCCACAAAGAAAAAGTGTGTACGTCTGCTTTTGCACAAACGCACATTTTAGAAATGAGGCCCCAGATCTCTCAAACATATAGGATGCTCTATTTCTTATAACAGCCAACATTTTTCCTACCTTTATCTGTACATTGTTTTGTATTTGTCAGAAAAAACGTTGAAGAGGGTTGCAGCAGTACCGATCGTACTGCCTAGGGCACTCAAAGTAAACATGATGAAAAGGAGATTTTTTGTGTGTCTGGATTTTGTAAATGTAAAATCATGGTGAATTTCATGCTGGCTTTTGTAAGATTCTGGTGAAACAAACATTGAGTTCTGCAGAGTAATGCTTTGCTTCTGTTGTGGTTTGTTAAAATCCCCAGTGAAACCATGTTTGCGTTTGTGTTTCTGCACACCAAACGGATCCACTTTACCCGATGTGTCTTTTATCTTTTTTGATTGTTGCCAATTTATCTGTCTTTCAAAACATACAGACACACAAAGTAACAATGGTCGCATGCAACCTTCAATCGGCCTGCTCATTTGACCTCTGGAAATAATACTGCAGTTCAGCAGCAATCCACTTCTAGACACTCGCTGTCCTCCTAAAAACTCTCCATTGCCCAATGTGTGTGCAGGAATTTACAAACCACACAGAATTCACCTTCACAGATCTCAGTTCATGATAAAGGATTATTAGAGAGAAATATTCACATATTAAAGAGATCATCATTTACTCACCCTCAAGTTGTTCCAAACCTGTGTGAGTTTATTCTCTTCTGCTGAACATAAAAGATGATATTTTGACTTTGACTTCCATAGTATTTGTTTCCTGCAACGAAAGTCAATGGCAATCATCAACTGTTTGAACTAAGTGATGACATAATTTTCGTTTTTTGTGTTTTTTGTTTTTTTTTTTTTTTTGGGGGGGGGGGGGGTGATTTTCAATTTTCACCTTAAAATTATCTAGAAAATAATTTTGCATCAAGAAAATAAAACCTATTTCATTTTTTTTAATACAACAATACAAAAATATTTTAGTACAATAAGTATGACGTCTGATTACAAATACACAATGGCAATATACACTCGCCTGGAGGATTATTAGGAACCACTAATTTCTCATTAATGCAATTATCTAATCAACCAATCACATGGCAGTTGTTTCAATGCATTTAGGGGTGTGGTCCTGGTCAAGACAATCCTGAACTCCAAACTGAATGTCAGAATGGGAAAGAAAGGGGATTTAAGCAATTTTGAGCGTGGCATGGTTGTTGGTGTCTGAGTATTTCACAATCTGCTCAGTTACTGGGATTTTCACACACAACCATTTCTAGGGTTTACAAAGAATGGTGTGAAAAGGGAAAAACATCCAGTATGCGGCAGTCCTGTGGGAGAAAATGCCTTGTTGATGCTAGAGGTCAGAGGAGAATGGGCCGACTGATTCAAGCTGATAGAAGAGCAACTTTGACTGAAATAACCACTCGTTACAACCGAGGTATGCAGCAAAGCATTTGTGAAGCCACAACACACACAACCTTAAGGCGGATGGGCTACAACAGCAGAAGACCCCACCGGGTACCACTCATCTCCACTACAAATAAGAAAAAGAGGCTACAATTTGCAAGAGCTCGCCAAAATTGGACAGTTGAAGACTGTAAAAATGTTGCCTGGTCTGATGAGTCTCGATTTCTGTTGAGACATTCAGATGGTAGAGTCAGAATTTGGCGTAAACAGAATGAGAACATGGATCTATCATGCCTTGTTCCCACTGTGCAGGCTGGTGGTGGTGGTGTAATGGTGTGGGGGATGTTTTCTTGGCACACTTTAGGCCCCTTAGTGCCAATTGGGCATCGTTTAAATGCCACGGCCGACCTGAGCATTGTTTCTGACCATGTCCATCCCTTTATGGCTGTTTATGGCTACAGTACTTCCAGCAGGATAATGCACCATGTCACAAAGCTCAAATCATTTCAAATTGGTTTCTTGAACATGACAATGAGTTGACTGTACTAAAATGGCCGCCACAGTCACCAGATCTCAACCCAATAGAGCATC